CCCCAAAACCCCAAAACCCCAAAACCCCATTGAGTCGCTTAGATTCTAAAAGAAGGGTTGGGTGAATAATTTGAACCCATTTTGAAACTTTTAATTTTATATATTCATATCAAATTACTTTAGACCCTTAATAATTTTACTCTAACCCTAAATTATTCAACACATGATTTAAACTGGCAGCAGTAGCAACAGTCCTGCCATTGGGAATAGCTTTTTGCAACAGATTTAAGAGCAAAGCATATTGATTAATAAACTAGCTGATCAAAAGATTTTCCTTTAAAATATCTAGCAGCAGACCTAAAATGTGCAGCAATAAACCATGAGAATATCTGTGGGAGGGATTCCTGGACTCGGCGACGATAGAATAATGTTCATAATAGATAGCTAGAAACATAAAAACGTGCAGTAAGTGATTTAAGACATCTGCTAGACAATGGGAGCAAGTGGAGACCCTGCCAACTATGTTTTAAAAGTTGATGGTAGCATCATAATGGATATATGAGCCATTCAGAATAATGACAAACTTGACTTATTTCTCAAAAACCAAACGAACATTCAAAAGGTAGCTGAAAACGTTCAACAGTAGCAAGCTGCAATAAAGCAAAGAGAGTCTTCAGAATAATCACCAAATGGAGTTCTGTAAATTCAGTAGCCTATGGCTAATTAATACCAGAGCCAATAGTAAATATACCAACAATTGTCACAATAAATTTTGACCAAAAGTGAAAATATTAATTCAGCTAAATAATAATATACACCATAATATCAATAGCAACCTTAGATAGCTACACCTCAATATTCTCAGTCAAGTACTATAGCAAACTATCATCAACCAAGTCAGCCCATCTAAATACCCAAAACCCAGTTACTATCTACTGCCCATATTTCGGGGCACGGAAAAAGAGGACGGCCTAGAATCATTAAACCTGAAAATGACCCTAAAATTAAAAATGAACCCGGGGTCAGTTATTCTCACACAGTGGCTTCTCAAAAAAGTTCAATTGATTATAAACCCATCAAAGTAAAAATGCAAGATGATCCTAGTAAATTTGAAACTGAAGAAATGAAAAGGCAATGATAATTTATGAAACACTCAGATAACATTGCTACCTGTATCTTAGCCATTATAGTAAATTAGTAATTTGCATTTATTTTAATTTTAGAATAACCAGCAGGAAAGGGTGATCTTAACTGATCAAGTCAACTACTTCAGGATGAATTCTTTGAAGATAAGAGACCCTAATTTTCTATTTGAAGAGATCTAGCAGAGATGCATGTCTTAAGGCTTCTGAGTAATGATTAGCTTTCAAGGAATGTCTAGAAATATGATTGCAATTGTTGACATTATTTGTATCAAATCACAGGAGGCCTATCATTTAAATGAAAAAGATTCTGAGCCAGGAGATTGTGAGTTTAAACTGGAGTACTCGAAAAGAGATGAGACAGAGTTTTATCAGCTAAGTAAGTTTGTTTTGTAGCATTCACACCCAATGGACTAAAATATGATAGTGGAGACTAGAATATAAAAACTTAATACTCCTTATCTTATTTAAGACAAGGAAGAAGAATCGGTTTAAAGCAATGGCCACTATACTGAGAGCAATTAGCCTAAGTCAGTTAACTTTTTCTAAAATATGCTTGAAGTTCTGGACTCTAGCTTCTATAAAGCAGAAAATAATCAATAATAAACATCATTTCAGCCTTTCATCATGAAGTAAGAGGCATATCAGAATCTTGAATTTGATTCACATCCAAGTATTGTAAAGTCTGAGCCTTGAGATAGATCCTCGTATTAAGGGGAAGATGATGATGTTCAAAGAATTTTACCTTGCTAATTCTAACCTATGCAGGATAAAGACTTAAGGCTGTAAAGAGAGATCAGATCACTGGTCAGACTGAAAAAGCAATTAAGAGAAAAATTGGGAATAAAAGGTAAAGGCCGTGGCAGATGGAAGTATTAGATAGACATTGAAAAGATGACAGTAGATCAGAAATAGCTAGCGAGAGAATTGATGAAAACAGAAAAGTTACTGAAAGAATTTGATTAATAGAAAACTTATGTAAAGCTATTGAAACTATTTTGAGCAAAGATACTAAGATATCTCATTAAATTTGAATCGAATTAAAAGTTGTTAAGTAAATTAAACTTAATTTCATCATTAAGAATTCTAATTTTATAATTCATCGCTGCTTTGGTTGCCACTATTTTCATTGTCAACTTGCTGTTAAGCCAATGCAGCAGCATCAATCTTCTTTCTCGGAATGGAATGAAATATCTATTTTCTGCACAAGGGACAACTCTTATTCTTTTAGAGCCAGTCAACTAAGCACTTTTTATGATAAATATGATTAGTATTGCACTAAAGCTAAATAACTTCACTCAATGGTTAGAAATCATCAAAGCATATTATACAGACTAGAGATATTGGCTTCTTTTTTCTGTCAAATCTTCTCTTTAAATCTTTATACCTAAATTTGAGCTCATCAATTCTCTAATCCATAAATCTAAAGATATCTTCTACTGAGTTCTCTTAGATACTCTCTTCATCTTCGACATATGTGTCCTCTGGTCCATAAAATCCACACATTCTAAACAATTAATATGTCAATTTGACTTACTGTAATAATAGATAAAATGCCATGAGAATTAAAGAATTGAATAAGGCAAAAGCCTGATTAGAGAATTGAGCAACATTAATCCAAATAATCAGTGCAATTAGTTATCTTTATGTTCCACTGAATTAGTTGTATACCTCTCGGACCTTAGGATTATAGTATGTCTTCAGGAGCTGAATCATATACATAATTTGGAAAAAGTGAATGAAAAAGCAAGCCAGACGGGCATTTTTCCCTGCTCGTCTGATCTTTTTGTACAGAGGAAAATCGATTCTACCAAAAATAACATCTGATAATCTGACTAATTTCCTGGTTGCAGTCATGCTCATCATTATCAGCACATAATGCGAAGCTATTTGCAAGTATCCGACTATAATGTTAGCAATATCCTCTTTTGTTTGATGAACTTAAAATGTAAACGGGATGATAACTAATGTTTGTGATATCAAATAGATAAAGGATATAGCTGAGTAGAGCAAAATAGCAAAGAGAGTGAAGCATTCCATCATGATTTTTATCATTTTTAGGTTACTTTTATTAAAATCTATAATTATATTTTTAATCCTAATTTTCATTGGGAAAAATATGATCGCTAGCATGAATCAAGTTGAGCCAAGAACAAGAGAGGAGAGAGTAAGTTCACAATCAATAATGACTTATTTGGCAATTAACAATTATAATAGGCAGCTTTGAAAGACAGAGAACGCGTAGAGTAGCTCCGTTTAAGAGAAAGAATCGGATCTTATCACAAATACGTTGATAATGTTCTGGTTAACAATCCAGATCCTAAATCATCACATTTCATTCCTGGTAGGCTATAAAAATCTCTATTGCAAAATGAATATAGATAACGAGAGATTTAACAAGGATTTCGCATCACATGATAAAATGGTTAGGGAATAGTAGTATAAAACAAAGATGGACGCCATTGAGAAGAAAAGGTAACGCATTCAATCATAATATAACTCTCTGCTTTAGAGTTGAGAAATATGAGAGAGACTTGAAGAGATGGGAATTTATGGATGAGGAAAATGAAAGAGAATCCAAGAGAATCCTAGCAATGAATGACAAGTATTTAACTGGCAGAAGGAACAGAGGAGGTGCTGCTTATAATATTCTCAGTCTGCAGTATGAAAAGACAGCAGAGGGACAGTACTTAAAAGAAAGAGATGATGATGCCAAAGTTAGGGCTTTAATGAGGTCAAAAAATCTAGATGTTAGGTCTAATTGTGGTTTTAATCCAGTTAATGGAAGTGATAGACGTAGTGTTGATATTCCTGCGCATAAACTTTACAATCCACCAGATAGGCTTAGAAGTGTTGGTGAGAGTATTATTGGTTCTGGTTTTGCAGGAAAACCCCTGAGGAAAGAGCTGTTTATAACTCCATCTCGAAACTTATCTACTCCAGCATTAAACTTTGGAGGTAATCAAGCGGTAAGCAACTTTGGACAGGCTAATTATCCCTATACTTAAGCTTAAAACTAGGATTCCAATTAGAATATGAACAATAACTCGAATTTCCTGAATCAAAATCAGTATTAGTAAAATATTTATTAACCTTAATAACAAAACATTCATAACGAGTATCAGATGTAAAACTATTAGCAATAGCCACAAGTACATCAGCAATCTTCATAAATAGATCCCTATCAAAAGCCTTAATCAAACTAGTTCCTTGGAGGCTACCCTGGCTAAGTCTAATAAATCAATAGCAATTATAATTAATAGTAGCAGTAGCAAAACACCAATCCTAACCTTCCGATTGCTCAGTAGCAACAAGCACTCTATGGCGGGAATGGTCATTATCTATACAATCAACCAAACATTTAGAGAGATCAGCTAATAGCTCCTGCCTATCCATAATAGCAGCAATAGATGTTTAACGCCCAATTCAAAGCTGGAGGTGCAGGGACAAAGTTCTACTGAAAACTTTAAAATTGAATTAAAGCAAGACTATTAATATGATTAATTTACATTTGACTGTCTTCTTAAATAAAGTTTTATAAAATAACAAATACTCACATATTTATTGCAAACCGCGCATAATACATTAATAATTTAATAATCTGCTCACCAATCCAAAAATCCGGCAAGTATCTCTTGGTTTTCCTCTAAGTTCTTTTTGGCTTTGAGCCTTCTATAGAAGATAGGGCAGTCTCTGCTGGTGCATAGAATGTCCTCATGCAATGAACCTTGGCATCTTTGGCATTGCACCCAGAGATCAGCGTAGGTCTTCTCATAGAGGTTAAGTTCCTGCTTTCTTTCGATGTATATCTGTTTTTTTTTGGGCTGGCAATTCTTGCACACACAATCATCGTCATTGTTGCCCATTACATTCTTGCAGCCGAGACACTGCTTCTTTACCACTGCAAATTTGCCAAGTCCAGTCATTGTGTTTCCCACTTTGGGTATGTAGATAGCTCTCGTGTGTTCGCCCTAGAACAAAAGCTATTCTGCGTTTGAAAAAACTGGCTCAAAGAGTCTTAAAAGTGGCAATTTAATTTGATGGTCCAGGTAGAATTAAAAGTCAATTGCCAGGTTATGCTGCAAAACATACAGAGGATCTTCTGATTTTTCATACCCTTTACTACCTTTCGCTGCCTTTATCATTACATAGGCTATTCTATCTCCTTGAGAGGGAGCAGATGCCTCATCACGCTTTCTCATACGTTCTGCCAACTCAACATGAGCCTGCTTGCCATGGTAGCTTTAATTGGTCGAGCCCTAAGGCTTGTTTGATTTATCATCTGTTTCTGGCTTGCTAGTCTTTTTACCAAGTCCCTTAGTGATGACCAAAAGCGAGAGATCTATACGGTTCTGCAGTAAATCACTAATAATACCCTTGCAGAAATCCAGAGCCTTATCCTTGTCCTTGTTAATTAAGAGCAGGTCGAGACTCTTCTGAACAGCTTCCTTCACAAGTCCGCAGTTATCTCTTCTGACTGTTTCAATACCCTTAGCATCAATTTTGTCATATTTGTCAGGCTTAGTCCACAGCAATCCAGCGTATCTCTTTTTATTCATCAGCAGGTAGGGGCAGTAGACTTTCTCAAATTCAAGTTTAATTGGATGCTCAAAGAACTGCGAGACGTAGCTAGCTGCTTCCTGTCCTAGCTTCATGGCCTCTGTAATAGACTCAACTCCGAACTTAACCATTACTGAATCAGTATCTCCGTAGATAACTTGGCTGTCAAACTCATACCCATTCTTTTTACAATACTTATTTAGCACATAAGCTCTTGTGGCTTCGATCATTTCTCTACCGTAGGCTGTAACGCTACTACTGATAGCAAGACAAGGCAACTATCCAACTTAGGCTCCTGTGAAACCATACACAGAGTTAGCTGAGATTTTCAAGGCTAATTATCTACCATCTAGCACGGCCTTTACAAATGGATCTGTTGCTTTAGCTAACTCCTGTCTAGCTCTCTTACGAGCTGAGATAAGTTCCTCTAGAATCATAGGGAGTAATCCCTTCTTCACAGTCTGTTTCATAAAGTAATCTCCATTTGGCGTCTTCACATACATTTCTGGATTGTAGTTTTTGACTCTGTTATTCGGAATTAGAGTAGAGTAGCATAGATTATGAGCCATCATGATTGATGGATAAAGTGAAGCGAAATCCAATGTTGCTACGGGATCAGTATAAAATCCTCTAGTTGGCTCAATGACGACTGCACCTTCGTACTTTCCTTCCATTGGAGCTCCCTTGTCTACTGGGATCACTAAATCATACTCCTTTGCCTTTCTGTATAACTAGGAAGAGACCTTGATTTGTTGGCCTCTTGTGAATAAATAAGATATTGGCACTCCTGTAACTCTAGACATCTCAGTCAAGTTGAACAGACACATCAGCTTCTCCATAAGTCTCAATGGTAGATAGGCATCTTTCAAGCAATACACAGCCAGCCTTCTTCTTGTGAACTCATTTTTATTTTGCAAGTCACTAATGATAGAATGATGCACATCTTCCTTTTATTCACCTAAGAACTGAGCACTGACTGAATTAAGGGAATAACTTCTAAGTTTATGCTCTCTGAGAATCACTTGCAGCATGTCGAACTAAACTCTACCCTCGATATTAATGTCCTTAGTTTCTCTAGTGCCCAAGGCCTTTGAAGAAAAAGTGTTAGACTTTATCTTTGACACTGAATCTAGGATTCTACTAAATTTGGCATACTTATTCATTTACAATGCTTGAGCTCTATTGATGATATAGGGGAAGTCGAAGTTAACTATGTTATAGCCAGTGATAATATCTGGGTCTACCTCTACCAAGAAATCTCTCCAGGCCTCTAGCATCTTTTATTCACTTTTATAGGAGTTGACTTGAGAACCAACAATTGGGGCACATTCTTGGAGTGTAAATACATTTCTGACAAATGGTTCTTTTTCACCTTGTATCTTAACTATGTTAGCAATTTAGATAATTGGATCTTGCTAAGCTAGGGGGAATCTACCCTTCTCAGCTGAACATTCAATATCAAATGAAAGTATTCTAAGAGGTGCAAGATTTTAATAATCTCCTTCACATGGCAGGCACTGTATATCATTGAAGTTTTCTACATCAATCTCGATCTAAGCATTAGTGATTTTAAAATTTTAACTTCTAATCTTATACTTGCCTTCATCGACTCTAATCCAAGACATTCCTACTATCTCGTTATCAATCATGAATCTGAGAGCGTAAGGCAAATTAGACTCGAAGGTGATTTGCTAGAAGAGATCTTCCTTTTGACTGAATACATAATGTCTATTCTCAAATTTAGTCCTTAGCAAGTTTACATGTCTGGGAAGTCTGGTATATATTTTCAAAAATGTTTTCTGATTCTCTTGATAGTGCATAACGGTAGACTTTTTTATCATTTCAATTGACATGACCATCTTAGCACCGTTTTCAAGATTGTTAAGTTCATTCTTAATCCTTTCCAAGTCAATTGGAGTCAGTTGGTGTACGTGAGGCAGATACTCAACATAGAAATAGGAGGTAAAGTTGTGAACATGGCACATTACTGAGTTTCCTTGCTGAGTAATACCAAACATTCTGATTACAGCTTTTTCCTCTTTTTCTCTTTCCTTGCTTTGATCCTCACTCATATACTGGGACTGCTAATTCTTCATGCCTAAATTTGAAATCATTTACTTATTTATTTAAATTCAGTTTGTTTTCACTTACTCAATGGCAAGTCAGTATAGTAGTCCACATCAATCTGCATGAATTCAATATTTTATGTGTTTGGATTGATGGAGGGGCATGGGGGTCTTCTAACATTTTATCTGCCTGAGAGGTCTGGACCTTTAAGAAATTCAGGGGCATCCTCGAATTCATTTTCAGATTTGTAAGCGCTATATCTGTGTTCCATTTACCGCAAAAAATTTGACTCTAAACTTTAAATAAATATACAATCTGAAATCAATCTTAACCCTAAATATTGGTTTAAGGGGTTTTGGGGTTTTGGGGTTTTGGGGTTTTGGGG